GCTGACGGCCGCCGCACTCTGGCCACAGCGCACGCCGAGCCTGTGGACGTCAACAGTGACCTCGCTTCTAGACCATCCGAGCGCTCTAGAGACAGGATCGGCTCCATGAGGCCCCGCCCTCGAGCCGCGGTCTCGCATAAATAACGCCAGCGCGCCGGGCAGCATAGGGCGGCGGTCCCAGCGCGCAGAGCGTCTCATAAGGTGCCATGTTCTTTGCTGTCCAGCACGATTGCGGTCCCATGGACAAAAGTGCAGGCAGCGGTCACAAGAGTGAGGAGAAGCGGGAGAAGATGAAACGGACCCTGTGAGTACGACTTTCTTCCCTCTCCCGCGCTCCCTCCTCCCTTGAGAGCGAATCTTCCAGGTCTGCTGCAGGCGCAGGACTTCCGGGCTCACTTTGACACAGGGAAACTGTAACCTGCGCTTCTGCAGGGAAACAGTGTGCCAAAGGTTAATTTTCTAAGTAAGGTTAAGTCTGTGTGGTATATACTTATTTTGTGAGCAAATGATGCTCGGGTGAAGTTTCAGAACTGAGGACGGTTGCGGAATTGCGGTTGGCTTTTGTCTACCTGCATTTAAAATGGCATCAGAATCCTGTTCTGGAGTGTGTCCCCAGCATTCGTTCTCTGTATTATGAATTCTGATCAGTTTACACAGCTGCTGGAATGGAGTTTTTGCAGGTTCTAAACGTCCTCGTTATGAATCAATTTTTATTTATTTTTAATTATAGAGCAGATCTTACCCAGTCACGACTGTGGAACAAATCATTGCTCTGCCTAGGAGTGTTGTAGGTGGGAGGGGAGGAACGGGGGAATCCATCTCACACAGCTCCTTGTGCACAGCCTGGAGGCTCCCGCTGTTAGGGTGGCAATTCGGCTGCTCTGTTGGCATCTAGTGCCAAATGCCTCTAGCCTTGCAGAGAAAATGCTGTCTTTTTTTTTTTTTTTTTTTTTTTTATGAGTGAATAGCATCTGCCCTTTCAACCATGCAAAGTAAACTCATTAAAATACCCCACTGGTTTTAAGTAATGCCCACACTTGGTCGTAAAACTAGTGGTTTCATTCAGATGAACTGTGCTCAGCACATCAGGTGCTGGGAATGAAATGTTCAGTGGGTAAGACCATTACTGGGGGTTCTTGCTTTGTCTTGGTTTGTAGCTGCTAGGTGACTGTATTTGGTAAAAATTAATCCAGCGGCACTAACTTATTCAAGCCTTGCCACTAAATGAAAGCAATTTTTCTCTTTTAGTTTAAAAGATTGGAAGACCCGTTTGAGCTACTTCTTGCAAAATTCCTCCACTCCTGGGAAGCCCAAAACAGATAAGAAAAGCAAACAGCAAACTTTCATGAAGTAAGTAAAGACTCCTGTACTTGTAAACACGGGTGGCTTGGCTGCTGAAGGGAAAGGGTCCTCCGCTGTGCGCAAGCTGACGTGCAGGCCTTCTCTTGCAGGCCATCTCCTGAGGAAGCACAGCTGTGGTCGGAAGCATTTGATGAACTGCTAGCCAGCAAATGTAAGTTTTCAAGTCAATCCACTGCTAGCATCCCAGAAGTCTGGAAAGGTTGTGTCCATACAACAGAAGGACAACTAGTCTGAGAGGAACTGACCACCCAGTCATGTAGCAGAAGGCTGTGCCTCCTTTGTTTCCCAGTGCTGAGCCACAGAAGAGCATGTAGTATTCACTCCAGGTGGAGAAGAAAAATTAGCCTAACAAGGTGAAGGGCCTTGCCCTCAGATAAGGCCCAGTCAGCTTTTCCAGTGCGCATGCAGCTTCCCGAGGAGGCTCACTGCGGAGAACGTTCGATTCCGCTATAAATGCTTATTTGGCATCAACAGCAAAGTTCACAATTTTATTTTTGTTAGCAAGGTGCCAATTTCGGCATTTTGCCTACTGGCATCCTAGTCTTTAAAGAGCTAAATTCTGAGGATTACAGGATTGAGTGAAATCTAGAAAATTGATATCATCCAGAAATAATTACCATATAAAGGCAAAGTACTAGAAAACCACAGGGATTATTTGGACACTCCGTCCTTCACATCCTATGTGCTTTTTTTCTTCCCCTTCAGATGGTCTTGCTGCATTCAGGGCTTTTTTAAAATCTGAATTCTGTGAAGAAAACATTGAATTCTGGCTGGCCTGTGAAGACTTCAAAAAAACCAAATCACCCCAAAAGCTTTCCTCAAAAGCGAGGAAGATATACACTGACTTCATAGAAAAGGAAGCTCCGAAAGAGGTAAGGAAAAAGTTTTCCACTTCAGCAAAATTTGGACATAGTCCCAAAGTGAAAACAAACTGAGGAGATGTCAAGGTAATGTGAGAATTGGGGCAGTGGTAAAAGATATATATAAAGCACCCCCTCTCCTCACTCTCACAATTCTCAGTGATTTGGCTGGTAAAGCTAACTGCACAGTACAGTTTTCGTTTCGTTTGTTTTCTGTAATCACCCGAGGGTGTGTGAGAGAGAGAGAGCAGAAAGAGGGAGAAAGCACTCCCCTGGGGCAGGGTCACACTGCGGTCCCCTCTCTCCCATGTCTTCATCCCGTTGGGATTTTAGGCACACTCATGCACCTGGTATGTTTTCCAAGCTCTCAGGGCCAGGATTCAAATCATGGTCAGCCATGTGGGATCTGAACCCCTTAACCACTAGGCTACAGGGCCAGCCCTTTTTATTTTTTGTTCTCAAATATTACATTTCAATTTCAAATTCTGAACACCAAATAAACCACAATTTTGTTTTGTTTCAGATAAACATAGACTTTCAAACCAAAACTCTCATTGCCCAGAATATTCAAGAGGCGACAAGCGGCTGCTTTACGACTGCCCAGAAGAGGGTGTACAGCTTGATGGAGAACAACTCCTACCCACGCTTCTTGGAGTCCGAGTTCTACCAGGACTTGTGCAGAAGGCCACAGATCACCATGGAGCCCCATGCTACCTGAGATGAAGAGGGAGCCCAAATGGAGGGCATTTCACTCTTTTTCCTACGGGGAAGGACTGTGGCCTGCCAAAGAGACTGACCTTGAATTCAGCCTGGGTGTTGAGGAAATGTCACTCAGGACTATTGATTCAAAGTTGGGTAGTAAGTCAGGAAGTCCGTGCTTGTCAAGAGAAGCTCACATCAGAATGGCTTCCATCTCTGTGTGAACTCAGGGAGGGAATCTGCTCTGAATGAGGCGCTGTCTCAGCGGACAAGCAGGAATGTGGGATGGAAGATACGGTGACACATTATCGGTCCCAAAGCACTGAAAATGGCTAGGTCTGGGATTATGTGGCCTTAGCTGGCGGGCTGTACCTCTTCCCCCAAAAGGGTCCATGTCACCACGTGGTGGTTTTAGTTTTAGTTTTTTAGTACTAAGAAGGAAAATGTTTACTGTGTGTGTGCGCGTAAATTCTTACGACCACAGGGCATCAGTTGCGTTGCTGACGGAATGCTGAGATTGCCGTGTGTGTGTGTGTCCTCGGGTGGTGTGTGACAGGTGAGTGCTGCTGTGGAACTATGGTGTGCCAGAAACTGTCTTGAAGGCAGCTAAACCTGGAAGTCGTCTTTGAACACTTCTAATAAATTTATTTTGATAAATAATTTTAATGACTACTTGGAGTCTGGCTGTGATTTTATTCTATTTCATTTTGGTAATCGGGACGATGGCAGGTCATGGGAAGAGATCTTTCTCATCAAGGGGAGGGTCACGGTTACTGTGTGTGTCCAGTGAGAATCGACATCCCTGGAACAGGAAAATGAGTGCAGGGAAGACAGTCTTCATCTCTTTGGAACCTTATGCAGGTCCAAAAATGTCAAATCACATTTTTGGAACCACCCTGGGTTCAAGCTTCCTGACATAATCTTAAAAAACTCAAGGCTGTCCCTAACAAGAACAGACATTGACCTTCATGAGTAGGTATTATTAAGGACCAGCTAAATATGAGAAATAAAATAATAGAGACAACCACAGAAAATACCTCCTAACTAAGCTTCTCAAATGAAGGAGGAAACCAAATAAGGTAATTGTAGGCCTGCCCTTTGTGTTTTCCCCCCTTGGTTCCAGGCTCCCGCACAGGTATTGGCATGAGTTCAAGTCACATACCTGAAATGTTTGACTCCCACCATGGCAATCCACGTCTCCACGCTTCCCTGGAGCCCGCGTTCACTCGCAAGAGGACTGGCTGTGTTACTTTAGCTGACGAAGCAGACAGAAGCGGTTTTGTTTCTTAGACTTACTCCAGGAACATGGCTTTTCCTAGTTAAGAAAGGGAGTTATTTTTCAAACTGGCTATTATTTTTTCAAGTTTATTCTTTCTTCCATGAGGGAGAGAGACAGACAGCTTCCCCAATGGGGTCTTGATACTGATCCATGCCCACTTCAGCCAGCCCCAGCTTGTGGGCACACATGCCCAGTGTACCCGGAGAAGGTGAACATGAACCTCCCAATGTGGGTTAGCCCTGTGTCACCGTCTGGCCCCCTCAGACTATTTTAGGAAGGAATAATGTCCTTTCCTTCTCCAGAAGACTGCTTTCTAACCTCCTTATTGTGGTTTTAATTAAACAAAAGGGGGGGGCAGCATGTGGCATGGTGGTTAGGGCACTGGACTCCCATATGGCTGACTGAAGTTTGAGTCCCCAATCTGATGGCTTGTTTTCTTGCTTTTCCTTTCCTTCTCTCTGTCTCTTTCTGGTCAAATTAAAAAATAATAGTAATAAACACTAAATAATTCTTTTTTTAAAAAAAAGGAGCAGAAACTGTCAACTTAGAGTTGGGCGACCTGACTGTAAGGAGTGATTTCTTCTGGCTTTGTGACCTTGCGATTCTCACCAGCCTCCCTGGCTCCTCATCTAACATCCCTCTGCCTACCGCCCTTGTTTCTGAGAGATGATATGGGGCTTTACAAGACGTAAGGCACTAAAAGTGCATTGACTTTGGAAAAAGAAAAGCTGGTCTCCAGTCATTAAATACAACTTCTTTTGTGACTGCACCACTTTTCACTAACTGGCGTCCTGGCGTCTGTGACACAGGCTCTGCCAGCCGTTTGCCTCGTGTTTCTGGGTGATCTGCCACTTGCCACTAGAACACGCAGTGCAGGGGCTCTGCACATGAATTTGGAGGGGTCACCGAAACAGTATTTCTCTTGAACATAAATATGTCACATCGACATAATCCTTAATTTGGAAAGGTTTGGCCAACAGAGGAATCTCGGAGTTGGGCCATAAATCCATTTGTCATCAAGTCCCATGTGTTTTACCTTCAATCTGCCTCCTGCCTGCTTACCATCCCCACCTGATCAAGGCAGTGCCCTCTGGTCCCTGGACGGCTGCAGTAGCCTTCTGCGCCCCTCCCCGAACTGCCTTCTCCCCACTATGAGGTCCCTGCTTTTTAACTGTGGGGACCCTTTCAAGAGACACACCTATCGCCAATTCCTTATAGATCCAGACAGGTTTCCCAAACAATTAAGATAAAGGGAGGGGGACAGGGTGTGGTGGTTAGGGTGCTGAATTCCCCACATGGCTGACTGTGGTTCGAGTCTCAGAACTCGAGGCTTGCTTTCTCATTTTCACTCTCTCTCTAGTCAAATTAATAAATAACAATGATAAATAAAATGGAGTACATTTGTTTTAAAGGTGGTATCCCTCACAGGGCCTGACCCTGCCTGCTCTCTCCCCCGTCTGCATCGCATTCCCCAGCTCTCCCTGCTAGTCACACCGGCCGCCTTTCCATCCTGGCAGGAGCCTGTTGCTGGCCCCACAGGCCTTTGTGGCTACATGGCAGTTGCTCTGCATGGAATGCCATTTAGTCCCTCCTCCCCAGTCCCCTATCAGTGACCAGCTGCTGCTTTCTCAGGGGAGCCTTCCCTGACCCCCAGTCTAGGTCAGATCCCTCTCAAATGTTCTCACAGCACCAGGTTCTCTAACTTAGAGCTCGTCATAGAGTTACACATTCTCATTAATTTGTAGGATTATTTGACAATTCCATGTCTTTCCCATCTGGGCACAGATGCCATGACCTGTGAGCCCTGTCCCCTTTCTGCTCACTGCTGGTGCCCAGCGTCCAGCTCAGTGGGAGCTGTATAAGCCACAGAGAATGGGAGTTCTGTGCACAGCAGGGACAGTCACTCAAGGGATGCCAGGTCCCACCCAGCAACCATGATTCGAATCCCCAGCCTGGCTGCTCTGAGATCACACAGGCGGGAAGGACTGGCGACAGGGGATGGCGGCATGGCCCAACCCCCACCATGTGTGCACACGTGCTTTACAATGAATAAAGGAGAATTGCTGATGAACGCACATTGAAAGATCTCTTAAACCAATGCTGATGAAACAAGATGTGCCAAAGCACAAGGAAAGGACAAGACTTAAACGCGCCAAATGTCTGACAGTATCTTCAGAACATCTTCCTTTGGCAAAAAAATAATCCCTCTCACTAGTCATGTTCTCTGTGACTTTTGACCTTTAATAGAAGCAGCAGCTGGATTATAGTAACAAAAAACCAGACTTCTGCCTTAGGTCTGCGGCAAGCACAGGCTTTACTCAGGCAGCATTTTCCAGTGTCCTCTAGGATGGAACACGCTGAAATAGATTTAAGATTAGAAACCACATACCTCCATGAGGAAGTATCGCTCAGGCTCTAGTCTGCCGGAGTTCACACGGCTAGGATGCACAATCCACTCCCTGTGATATTTCATCGTTCCTGGTTTTTTTTTTTTTTTTTTGAGAGTTTTTTGCTATAGGGAGCATGTCCTTGCCAGAAAGACAGAAAGCGAAAAATCACTCCCCAGGGGGGATGGCCACACCGCAATCCCTTCTCCTCCACTCTCCTCTTGGGATCTTGGGCACACACACGCGCCTGGTGTGAGTTTAAGCCACCAGGTCCAGGACTCGAACTGTGGTCAACTACATGAGAGTCCAGCAACATAGCCATTATGCCAACTGCTGGTCCCCATTGTTCTCGTATTTTAAGGAAAGGTACAGAAAGGCTGGAAGCTCAAAAACACAGCTAAGGCTACACTTCATTTGTCTGTAAGATCACTATCATCGACTTACCATGCTTTAGGAAACTCCAGCACATCCCAGGCTCCCCTCCTTCGCTTACTATAGCCACGGGCTCATGGCCATTGCCTTCAATACCTCCACCCCCATCCCCATAAGCTCCAGGTCCTGGGCCTACTTCTCATCTGCTCCCCAGAATGCTGTTTGCACAGTGACGTTCTCACATTACCCTTAAACCTAGAAAGGTATGTGAATCCCTAGTCTCTCACGGTAAACTCCTAAGTTGAGGTTAAAAATGCTCTATTTTGGGAACCAGCAGTTAGCGTAATGGCTATGTTGCTGGACTTCCACGTAGTCAACAGCGGTTCACGTCCCGGACCCGGTGGCTTAAAACTCACGCTGGGCACATGTGCGTGCGTGCCCAAGATCCCGAGAGGAGAATGGAGGAGAAGGGATTGCGGCATGATCATCCCCACTGGGGAGTGATTTCTCGCTTTCTGTCTCTATGTCTCTGTCTGTCTGGCGAGCGCATGCACCCTATAGCGAAAACCTCTAAAAAAAAAAAATGCTCTATTTTCTGCTCATCTTATTTCCAACTACTGACAGGAATGATTTAATGTTGTTAGAGGACGAAGGTGCTTGCCAGAGGGACAAAGAGACAGAGTGCGAGGAGCAAGCATGGGGGACGGTCACCCTGCAGTCTCTTGGAGTCCATCTCTCCCTCCTTCTGGGACTTGGGACACACAGGCACACACCTGACATGTTTTTCCAGCTGCTGGGTCTGGGACTTGAACCATGTGGTTTGCCCTGTCAGATCGAGCTGCTTTAATAACCACCAAGCCATGGAGCCAGTCCTTGACCAGAAACATTTGATTCTGGGGGATCAGCAGTTAGCTTAATGGCTATTTCCTTGGACTCCCATGTAGTCGACCGCAGTTCTAGTCCTGGACATGGTGGCTTAAACTCACGCCAGGCACATGGGCACGTGTGCGTGTGTGCCCAAGATCCCGAAAGGAGAATGGAGAAGGGATTGCGGTGTGGCTATCCCCCCTGGAGGGTGATTTCTTGCTTTCTGTCTGTCTGGCTGACTCTGTCTTTCTGGCAAGGGCACGCGCCCTATAGCAAAAACCTATCAAGAAAAAAAGAGAAACATTTGATTCTGGTTTTCCTGTGTCTCTGAGATACATTAGTCTCCTATTGGACCAAAATTTCCCCTTGCTTAGAACTGCTGTCTCCTCCCTTAAATTTACTCATTTTTTCTTATTTAAAAAAATTATTTATTTATCATTATTGTTATTTTTTTTTAGGGCTACAGGGCTTGTTTGCTCATCAGAGACAGAGAGAAAGAAATAAGGAAAGTGAGAAATCAAGCCACCAGGTCTGGGATTTGAATCATGGGCAGCCACGTGGGAGTCCCAGCGCCTTAACCACCACACTACCTGCCAGTGGAAGACGAAGTGAGAAAGCAAGCTGCCAAGTCTGGGACTCTAACTGCTGTTGGCCATGTGGGAGTGTAACGCCTTAACCACCCCATGACCTGCTGGCCCCAGTGAACTTATTTTTAATAATAGTTGTATGTGGGCTGGCCCTGTAGTACAGTGGTTGAGCATTGTGTGTAGGGAGCTGGATTCCACATGGCCCACTGTGGTTTGAGTCCTGGCCCCCTGGGAGCTTGGAAAACAGGCTGTGTGTGTGTGGTGTGCACCCAGGGTCCTGATGGGATGGACACATGGAGGGCAGGGATGGCACATGGCTGTTCTCTGCTGGCAGCTGCTGCTTTCTCTCTCTCCAGTGACTGCATGCACTCTCTGACAATAAGTATGTGCATATATATGTTTGTATTTATGTATACACACACATACACATAATTCAGCGTATTTAGGGATACTATAATTTTAACATTATGTGTATTTTCCATTGCAGCACAACCACGCCCACACTAGCCACACTGCCAGTCCTCAGCAGCCACATGTGGCCAGTGGCCCCCTTTACAGGTAGCAGTAAAGGCAGAGCCTGAGATGCTAAATCACAAACCAGAATGAATTCCTGCTTCCCATTTTCTTTCTTTCCAATCCCTAAAACACCCTTCACAGCCAGTGGCCCTCAAGTATCTTTTCCACAGTGTTGTCACTAGTGGAGAAATGTCTTCCACTGACCATAACAGAGGCAGCCTGGCCAGACTGGCCAAGGTCAGGTCCCACCTCTGTCACTTCCTAGCAGTATGAGCAGCTGTGGACAGGTCATGGAACTGCCTCACCA